CGGGGCTCCTCAGAAGGAAGGAGTGCGGGGAAACTACATAGTTCTTGCCCCTGGCTGCACCCGAGAGCCACCTGGGAGTTTTATGAGGCCTGACGCTCAGTGGCAGCTGGGTAGGGAACCCCTGCCCAAGGTCCCAGGCACATTCGTGTACTCTGAAGGGCCGGCGGTGAGCAGAGCTGAGCAAGCCAGTTTCTCACACTTGCTTGACCACAGAAACCCATTAAAATCCCTCCCAGGGCAAGTATTGGGAAATGCAAGTGAGAGTTTATAGCATGGGCTTTGGAAGCGGGAGGCCTGGTCGCGTTCCTGACTCTGCCGCTTGCGAGGAACTCCATCCATCAAAGCCTCCGTCGCACCATCTATAAAGTGGGAGGACCATGCCGACCTCTCTGGGTCATCAGAAGATCAAACATCAAGAGTGCAGAGCTATGAAAGCGCGCAGAAGCACTGATATGGGGGAGGGAGGGAGCAGCCTCACTGCTTGTAAACCAGTGGCCCCCAGCTCCCACGCATCCCCGCCCGCCACGGGACAGGGTGTGCATTCACCTCCTCAACATCCCCTTCTCATGACCCACTACTCTGAGGGCATGGTGGATGGAGGCCTGGCCCAGCAGGCTATTTTGGGGCGTCTCAGGCCTGGCCTCGGAGAGCAGGTGGCGGCGCCTCAGCTCTTCACTACACAGACTGAGAGGAATGCTCTGAGCCAGGGCATACGGTGGTGGTCAACACAAACCCAGGCCCGTCACACATAGTGCATTCTGGCAGGGGGAGACGAATGTGAATCAAAGGATCATACAGATACACAATTCAGAAGCATCCTGGCAGGGCGTGGTGGCGCACACCTGTAATCCCAGGTGTGAGTTTTTGGGAGGCTGAGGCCAGAGGATTGCTTGAGCCCAGGAGTTTAAAATCAGCCTGGGTAACACAGTGAGAACACATCTCTACAAAAAATAAAAGCAGGGCATGGTGGTGCGCTCCTGCACTCCTAGCTATTTGGGAGGCTGAGGTGGGAGGATCACTTGAGCCCAGGAGTGTGAGGCTACAGTGAACTCCGATCGTGCCACAGCACTCCTGCTTGGGTGACAGAGCAAGACTCTCTTAAAAAAGTAAATCGGGCCGGGCACGGTGGCTCGCGCCTGTAATCCCAGCACTTCGGGAGCCTGAGGCAGGTGGATCATGAGGTCAAGAGATCGAGACCATCCTGGTCAACATGGTGAAACCCCATCTCTACTAAAAATACAAAAAATTAGCTGGGCATGGTGGTGCATGCCTGTAATCCCAGCTACTCAGGAGGCTGAGGCAGAAGAATTGCCTGAACCCAGGAGGCGGAGGTTGTGGTGAGCCGAGATCGCGTCATTGCACTCCAGCCTGGGTAACAAGAGCGAAACTCCATCTCAAAAAAAAAAAAAAAAAGTAAATCAAGCCCAGGGGCAGTGGCTAACGCTTGTATTCTCAGCACTTGGGGAGACTGAGGCATGCAGATCACCTGAGGTTGGCAGTTCAAGACCAGCCAGACCCCATCTAACATAAAGAAACCCCATCTCTACTAAAAATACAAAATTAGCTGGGTGAAGTAATGCATGCCTGCAATCCCAACTACTTGGGAGGCTGAGGCAGGGGAATAGCTTGAATCCACGAGCTGGAGGTTACAGTAAGCCAAGATCGTGCCACTGCACTCCAGCCTGGGCAACAGAGCAAGACCCCATCTCAAAAAAAAAAAAAATCAAATACATTCTTATTGAGTGTGATGAAGCCTATCAAGAAAAAAGTGGGAGAAGGAGACCAGACAATGTATAAAGGAGATCCAAACTCGGGAGCAGGGAAGGCTTCCCTGGGGAAGGATAGTTGAATTGAGATCCGAAGGATGAACAGGTGTTAGTTAGCATGGTGAAGATGTGACAGGTGGAATGAGCCGGGAGGAGGGGGGAAAGCACTGGACAAGGGCAGAGGAGGGGCCACACAAGAAAGATATTTAGACGGCAGACTGGCCAGAGCCTGGTGGAGGACTGCAGGTGAGGGAGAAAAGGCAGGTGTGGGGACTCTGGGGCTTCTGGTTTGAAAGCCAGTAAGGATATGGAGTGTGGAGACAAGACTACCCGCCCCCAGGCTGACGCACACTCCCTGGGCCTGTACCTTCCTCATAGCAGTTACACAATGTACCAGATACTTAACTCATTGACTTGTCTGTCTCCTCCAACCATGAGGAAGCTCCAGGAGGGCAAAGATTTTTGATAGTTCAATGAGTAATCCCCATGTTTTCTCAGAGACGGTCTCACTTCGTCACCCAGGCTGCAGCGCCATGACATGATCATAGCTCACTGCAGCCCTGAACTCCTGGGCCCAGGCAATCCTCCCACCTCAGCCTCCCGAGTTGCTGGTGGTATATGCACGTGTCATCACACCCAGCTAATTTAAAACATTTCTTTTAGAGGTGGGGTCTTGCTATGCTGCCCAGGCTAGTCTTGAACGCTGGGCCTCAAGTGATTCTCCCACCTCTGCCTGCTGAGTAGCTGGGATTACATTTCAAGTCACCACACCTGGCTAAATGTATTTTTTATTTATGATGTTTCAACTTATGATAGTTTACATCTGTACATTGAGATGATAGCAAGCAACATCCTCTCTGGGGTTTCCTGGAAGGAAACCAGAGCAGTAAAAACGTCTTACATATAGGTCAGGCCCAGCAGCTCATGCCTGTAATCCCAGTACTCTGGGAAGCCAAGGCAGGCGAACTGTATGTCCAGAAGCTCAAGAGCAGCCTGGTCAGCATGGCAAAATCCTGTCTCTACAAAAAGTCTAAAAATTAAGGCCAGGTGGGCTGGCTCACGCCTGTAATCCCAGCACTCTGGGAGGCCAAGGGGGGTGGATCACGAGGTCAGGAGATGGAGGTTATCCTGGCCAACATGGTGAAACCCCATCTCTACTAAAAGTACAAAAAATTAGCCAAGCGTAGTGGCGTATGCTTGTAGTCCCAGCTACTCAGGAGGCTGAGGCAGGAGAATCACTTGAACCTGGGAGGCAGAGGTCAAAGTGAGCCGAGATCATGCCACTGCACTCCAGCCTGAGCTAAAGAGTGAGACTCTGTCTCAAAAAAAGGAAAAATTAGCCAGGTGGGATGAAGCACACCTATAGTCCCGACTACTTGGGAGGCTGAGTGGGGAGGATCGCTTGAGCCTTCGAGGTGGAGGCTGCATTGAGCCGACACTGCATTCCAGCCTGGGTGACAAAGTGAGACCCCCATCTCAAAAACAAAACAAAACAAGGCCCAGCGCCTTAGCTCACGCCTATCATCCTAGCACTTTGGGAGGCCAAGGCATGCGGATCACCTGGGGTTGGGAGTTCTGAGACCAGCCTGGCCAACATGGCAAAACCCCATTTCTACTAAAAATACAAAAATTAGCCAGGCATGGTGGTGCCAGCCCCACTTGTGGTCCCAGCTACTTGGGAAGCTGGGGAGTGGGATGGTCACTTGAGTCCAGGAGGTTGAGGCAGCAGTGAGCCATGACTGCACCACTGCACTCCAGCCAGCCTGGGTGACAGGGCGGGACCCTGTCATACACACGCTCCCAGGCCGATTACAGTAGTTCAGGCCTATAATCCTAGCACTTTGAGAGCTTAGGCGGGAGAATCACTTGGGCCTAGGGGTTCGAGACCAGCCTGGGCAATACAGCAAGACTCATCTTTTTTTTGGTCCCAAGGTCCCACCATTGCCCAGGCAGGAGTGCAATGGTGGGACCTTGGCTCATTGCAACCTTCGCCTCCTGGGTTCAAGCCATTCTGTCTCAGCCTCCTGTGTAGCTGGAATTACAGGCACTCGCCATCATGCCTGGTTATAATTTTTGTAGAAATAGGGTTCACCATGTTGGCCAGGCTGGTCTTGAACTCCTGACCTCCGCCTCCTGGGTTCAAGCGACTCTCCTGCCTCAGCCTTCTGAGTCGCTCGGATTACAGGCGCCCGCCACCACACCTGGCTAATTGTTGTATTTTTAGTAGAGACAGGGTTTCGCCATGTTGTCGAACTCCTGACCTCAGGTGATCAACCCACCTCGGCCTCCCAAAGTGCTGGGATCACAGGCCTGAGCCACCGGGCCCAGCGGTATATTTCTGTTAATTATTTGACTCCCCTAGTGAATGTAAGCTTCAGGAGGACAGGGATTCTGTATTAAAGAGTGCCTGGAATACAACAGGCGCTCACTATGTGGGTGTCGAATGAATAAATGTCCCACTCTCAGGCTTAGGTACGTTATGATGGTCACTTTACAAACGAGAAAACTAGGACACAAAAAGATTAAGTCACTGGGTCGCACACCTAGTGAGTGGCGGAGGCGAGTCCTCGGCACACACTCAATAACAGCATTACTGCGATTACCAGCCGCTTACTCAGGCCTTGAGCGAAGTGCTTTACCCTAAGTCATCTCGCTCAATTTAGCAATAACCCCGAGCCGGCACCGTCACGAACCCAACTTTCCAGAGGAAGAAGCCAGCGCCAGATGTTGTCCTGTAAGACAGGGGCTAGGCTGCGGTTCGAACCCTGACGGTTGACGTGCCCTCCGCGCTCCCCGAGGCGTTACCGTGGCGGCCCCCGGTTCCTCCCCCCGGGGCTCGGCGCTCACCCCCGGGCCGGGGTCGGGGTCGTGAGCCCACAACTCCGCCACCATCTCCGTGTGAAGGAACTCGAACAGCACAGCATCCGCCATGCGCCCTCCTCGCGCGCCTAAAGAACCGCCCAGCCCTTCCCGTTTTCATTGGCCAGGCTGGGTAAGCCCCGCCTCCTCGTTTCAGCTTCACGTGGCGCGCGCGTGAGCCTGGGACACTAGGGGTTGGGCCTACCCCGCCTTTGATTGGCCACACGTGACATCTTCTGCCCTTACTTCCGTCCCTTCCTATTTCCGGGTTCTCGAGCATTCCTATTGGCCAAATTACTGGTTTTACACGTGACAAATTCGGCTTTTAAAACCCCTATTTGTCCACTACAGACTTTCCTCGCCACACAACCCGGAAGAGCCGGCCCAGCCGCTTCTCTGTTGGTGGTTCCTCCATTCAAGGAACGCCCTCAAAGCTGATGCTGAGAACTTGCTTCCTGATTGGTAGCCGGCCGAGTACACGTGACTTGGCCGCTATTGCCCGCCCAACCCGCTCCCCTATTGGTCAAGATCACAGCCCTTCAGCTGCCACGGTGAGGACGCAGCACTCAGGCAAGGAAGCGGATCCCGGAGGTTCGGAGCGTCAGCTGGCGGGTACGGTCTTTGGCGATAGCGCTTCCCCCATCCCATGAATGCCCCCGCTGCGGAGTCTAGTCGGGCTGTCATTTTTTCTGAGACTTTGGCACTGGTCCCGAGCAGCTCACGGGCCTATGTGCTTCCGGGTCTAAGACTGGCATGGTGGACCAGGTGGAGGGTGTGGCCTCTACTGAGAGGCAAATTCGTAAAGAGCTCAGCTTGGGACTCCGGGGGAACTCGGGCCCCAGAGCCATGATCGAGCTGATCAGTTTCCCCATCTGTACACTGGAGAGCCTGGGGTCCAGTAACTCCCATCATCACCCACTTTACAGAAGAGGAAACTGAGGCCCAGGCAGGGGGAGCAGCTGACCCCAACTCGTTAAGAGAATCAGCGAAGGGGCTGGGAATCCAGGTCCTGCGCCTTTTATCCACTGCGGCGCCGGTCTCACTTGCAGTCCCGTCGCTCTTCTCCCCTAGCTCGGCGCCATGGCGTCCCAGGGTCGGCGGCGGAGGCACCCACGGAGGCTGGAGACGGTGGTGCCGGGGGAAGCGACTGAGACGGATTCGGAGCCCTCTGCGTCCTCGTCGGAGGAGGAGGAGCTGTACCTGGGTCCTTCGGGCCCGACGCGCGGCCGCCCCACGGGGCTGCGGGTGGCTGGGGAAGCCGCGGAGACCGACTCGGACCCGGAGCCGGAGCCGACGGCCGCGCCGAGGGACCTGCCTCCGCTTGTGGTGCAGCGGGATTCGGCGGAGGAGGCCTGGGGCGCGGAGGAGGCCCCGGCGCCCACCCCCGCGCTCTCACTCCTGCAACTTCGGCTGGCGGAGAGCCAGGCTCGTCTGGACCATGACGTGGCGGCCGCCGTGAGCGGTGTGTACCGCCGTGCGGGCCGCGACGTGGCCGCTCTGGCTAGTAGGCTGGCGGCAGCCCAGGCGGCGGGGCTGGCGGCGGCCCACAGTGTGCGCCTGGCACGCGGGGACCTCTGCGCGCTGGCTGAGCGCCTGGACATCGTGGCTGGCTGCCGCCTGCTGCCGGACATCCGCGGCGTGCCGGGTACCGAGCCTGAGCAGGACCCGGGGCCGCGGGCCTAGCCGTGATTCTACTTCCCAACCAGACTACCTGACTCTGCAATTTGGGAGTAGGCCTTGCTGCCTCTGGAACCTGACTCTGTCCCTTGTGTCTCTCTTTATTTTATTTTATTTTAAATACGGGGTTTCACCATGTTGGCCAGGCTGGTTTCGAACTCTTCATCTCAGATAATCCTCCCGCCTCAGCCTCCCAAAGTGCTGGGATTACAGGTGTGAGCCACCGCGCCTGGCCCCTTGTGTCTCTTAACCCCCACACCACGCCCCCATCTTGGTGTCACCCATGGGGGCTAATCCGGTCCCCTTGGATAATGCCTTGTATTGGATATAGTTCAGCCGCTACTGTGGAGACCAGGGTCCCACTACCCTTAGACCTGGTTCCTCCCTGCTGATCCTGACCCTGCTCCCTGATTCTGAGCCTTGCCCTGGGGCTTGGCTCCAGCCTTTGATAAATAGTTGCTCCTTAGTTTAAACTGTTTCCACTCTAGGGGCTCACCATGTCATATTTTTTCTTCTGCCTTTCTTTTCTTTTTACTGTCTCTCCCTTTTTTTTTTTTGAGGTGGAGTTTCACTCGTTACCCAGGCTGGAGTGCAGTGGTGGGATCTCGGCTCACTGCAACCTCCGCTTCCTGGGTTCAAGCAATTCTCCTGCCTCAGCCTCCGGAGTAGCTGGGACTACAGGCGCACGCCACCATGCCCAGCTAATTTTTGTATTTTTAGTAGAGACGGGGTTTCACCTTGTTGACCAGGATGGTCTCGATCTCTTGACCTCGTGATCCACCCACCTCGGCCTCCCAAAGTGCTGGGATTATAGGCGTGAGCCACCGCGCCTGGCCTTTTTTTTTTTTTGAGGTAGGGTCTCTGTCACGCAGGCTAGAGTGCAGTGGTAGGGTCAGCATTCACTGTAGCCTCTACCACAGGCCCAAGTGATCCTCCCACCACAGCCTTCCAGAGTTTGGGGACTGCAGACCCACGCCACCACACCCAGTTGCCTGGTTAATTTTTCTTCTGACCGTTTGAAGAGGGAAGAAGGTCTCATTATGTTGCCCAGGCTTGTCTTAAACGCCCGGGCTCAAGAGATTCTCCCACCTTGATCCTCCCACCTTGGCGTCCCAAGGTGCTGGGGTTACAGGTGCAAGCCAGCACACCGGGCTGTGCTCCGCCTTTCTGAGTTTGGTTTCTGCTCATGGTTTGGGGGCTTGTTCCCGTTCTAACCACAGGAACTCAGGATACGACACAGCTTCCCCGCTGTCTTCCTTCACTCTGTTGGCTACATCTCCCATCCTAGCTCCACTGCCGGAACTTCCCTCCCCCTAGACTGGGTCTTTGTTTTGTTTTTAGAGACAGGGTCTCCGTGGTCCAGGCTGGAGTGCAGTGGCACGATCTCTGCTCACTGCAACCTTTACCTCCCAAGTTCCAGCGATTCTCCTGCCTCAGTCTTAAAACTAGCTGGGATAACAGGTGGGCACCCCCATGCCTGGCTAATTTTTATATTTTTAGTAGAGATGGGGTTTCACCATGTTGGCCAGGCTGGCCTTGAACTCCTGGCCTCAGGTGATCTGCCCACCTCACCTCCCAAAGTGCTGGGATTACAAGTGTGGGCCACCGTGCCCGACCAGCTGGGTCCTTGTTCTGCTGCCCGGGCGGGGCCTTGGTTCTAGTTTTTGCTCTCCCGTCTCTTGCCTCCTCCTCCTCCTCCTCGTTGAGCTCAGCTCCACCCTCTCAGCCTGATTTTGTTTCCTGAGTCTAGCTGTGCCGTGGGGTAGGTCTCGCTTCCTATTGCTGTCTCTATCCTGCTTACACCTCCCCGATCCTGGGTTCTGGAGACTCCCTATGGTTTCCTTCCTTCTGCAGGCCCAAAATGACGGCCCCTCCTAACCCAAGGCAGGCGATCTTCCTCCCGACTCTGAACCAAGGTGGCATTACCCGCAGGCCCCTCTAGGCCAACGTGATGCTTGCTCTCAACTCTAAGGCCAAGGTGGTGGCCTCTCCTGATGCCCCAGACCTGAAGTGACACCCTTCAGGCACTTCAGGCCTGGTTCAGTCCTGCCCTGGTGCTTTGGGCACCAGACGACAGCGCTTTACGGATAACAGTATAACGCGGGTGGATTTCACTACGTTGGCTCCTAGATGCTGTAAAAGGCCTGGGATTTCAGACTTGGCTCAGGACCTGGGGTGAGCAGCCGCCCTCTGCTCCTTTGCACCTGCCCGCGTCCAGCCCCAGCTCTGGTCCTTCAGCTGCGTTCATATTGACTGACCTCTCCCAGCCTATCACCCTCTCCCTTGTCCCAATCCAAAGCCAAGTTCTGAGGCTCCAGGATGGAGAATGGGCAGGAGCTTTTCATGGCAGACTGATTAAAACTCTAAGCCTTTACCCTTACGGTTAGTTCCTCTTGTCTCCCTCCGCCAAGCTGGGGGTGTGTTGGTTGACTTCTATGAGAATGGGGGTCCCAAGGCCTCCATGCCTGGCCCTATGGAAGCTGAAGCTGTAGTTGGGAAATCGGGGGCCCTAGATTTTTACCCTGGTTCTATATTTACTTATATTTTATTAATTGAACACACACATTTTGGGTACCTGGCCTGTGCTGAGGCTGGGGGTATAGCCCTCACGTAGGCCACAGTCCAGTGGGAGAAACTGGTAAGATGTTCTCACAGAGAGTTGTAGTAATCATATTTTTTTGAGACAGAGTCTTGCTCTTGCCCAGGCCGGAGTGCAATGGCGCCATACCGGCTCACCACAACCTCCGGCTCCTGGGTTCAAGCGATTCTCCTGCCTCAGCCTCCTGAGTAGCAGGGATTACAGTCACATGCCACTAGGCCCAGCTCAGTTTTTTGTATTTTTAGTACAGACGGGGTTTCACCATGTTGGTCAGGCTGGTCTTGAACTTCTGACCTTGTGATCCGTCTGTCTTGGCCTCCCAAAGTGCTGGGATTACAGGCGTGAGCCACCGAGCCCAGCCTAGTAATCATAATTTATAGTTTAAATTTTTTTTTTTTTTGAGACAGAGTTTCACTCTTGTTGCCCAGGCTGGAGTGCAATGGCGTGATCTCGGCTCACCGCAACCTCCGCCTCCCGGGTTCAAGCGATTCTCCTGCCGCAGCCACCCAAGTAGCTGTGATTACAGGCATGCGCCACCATGCCCGGCTGATTTTGTATTTTTAGTAGAGACGGGGTTTCTCCATGTTGGTCATGCTGGACTTGAACTCCCGACCTCGGTTGATCTGCCCACCTCGACCTCCCAAAGTGCTGGGATTACAGGAGTGAGCCACCATGCCCGGCTGAAAATACGAAAATTAATGGGGCATAGTGGCAGACCCCTGTAATCGCAGCTACTCAGGAGGCTGAGGCAGGAGAATCGCTTGAATCTGAGAGGCAGCAGTTGCAGTGAGCTGAGATCGTGCCACTGCATTCCAGCCTGGGTGACAGAGCAAGACTCTGTCTCAAAAAAAAAAAAAAGTGCAAGTTAACCAGCATCTCCTCCCTCCTCAGCACTCCCTCTGCTCCCCTTCCTCACCTAGGGTGAGTGGATCACAATTCGAAGTGGAGGCTCTCCCAGCACCTCTCTTTTCAGTGAGTTTAGCGAGAGTTCCCGAGGAGCGGAGGTGCCTGGGAGAGTGGCAGCTTGGTGGCCCCATGGCAGACTTCCAGCCCCAGACCCAGAGCACAGTCTTTTCCTCACTCCTTAAACTCTGGTACACCTGCCAGGCCTGGCTTTTGGCCTCTCTCTTTCTCTCGCTTCCTCCCTCTCTTCTCCCTCCCTTCCTTCCTCCCTCCCTCCCTTCCTTCCTTTTTTCTCTTTCTCCTTCCTTTTTTCTTTTCTTCCTGTGGGGTCTCACTATTTTGCTCAGGTCTCGAACTCTTGGCCACAGTTGATCTTCCAACCTCTGCGTGGCAGGGATGGGAATCTGATTGGAGAGTGTACAAGAGGGTGTGGAACAAGAGCCAGAGGAGACCTTCCTCTTTGCAATGTCAAGTGAACAGGATGGGAAGAAATGGGGAAGTGGCAGGGCATGGCGGCTTACACCTATAATACCAGCACTTTGGGAGGCTGAGGTGAGAGCATCTGTTGAGCCCAGGAGTTCGAGACCAGCCTGGACAACATAGCGAGACCCCATCTCTACAAAAAAAAAAAAAAATTAGCCAGGTGTGGTGGTGTATGCCTGTGGTCTCAGCTACTTGTGAGGCTGAGATGGGAGAATTGCTTGAGCCCAGGTGGTCGAGGCTGCAGTGAGCCATGATTGTGCCATCCCACCTGTTCGCAACAGAGTGAGACTTTGTCTCAAAATGATAAGAAAGGGAGGGAGGGAGGAAGAAAAGCAGGGAGGGAGGGAGGCAAGGAGGCGTACCTGAATGAAGATGGAAGGAAGGGAGGGAGGGAACCTGGATGGGGAAGACGGTAGGGATCATGGCAGGTTTGTATGCTGATGGGAATATTTCAGAAGAGGGAGAAGGCATGATACAGGGGAAAGAGGAGAAAAGCCAGATCATTATCCTGGAGTGGGTAAGAAGGGAGGAGGAAATAGCCCCCAAGGGCAAGGGCAGCGCTGGGGTGAGAGAGGCTGTTTGTGGCTAGTTGCAAGCCACTGGGTAGTGATGACCACTCTGGTCATCACTGCCTGGGGACTGGTCTGTCACCACCACTGGACTGTGAGTCCTATGAGGACAGGGCTGAGGGTGTCTCGGCCAGTGCCAGCTAACCCAGGGCAACCACAGAGTAGATGCTGGGCAAGGTGTGTGTTGAGTGGATGAGTGAATGTCTTCACAGCATCACAGCATCAGCCTCTCAGATGCATGGAGGTGTCGAGAGGTTCAGGCACTGCCTCCCTCCAAAGGTGATGGCACTCAGTCCCGTGTAACATCACCCTCAGATATGCAGGATGAGAGGGTCAGGTGTGCACCGAAATGCCCACCAACACCCACTCCACTAATACCTCCTAATGCGTTTCAAGGGGAAGGGCATTCAAGGCATTTTAATCCCATTCTAATCCCAGCTACTTGGGAGGCTGAGGCAAGAGAATTGCTTAAACCCAGGAGGTAGAGGTTGCAGTGAACCGAGATCATGCCACTGCACTCCAGCCTGGGCAGAAGAGCGAGACTCCATCTCAAGAAAAGAGAGAGAAAAAGAAAAGAAAGAAAGAAATAGACCTCTGGCTACTGAGGGTGCATGGGAGGGGACGAGACTGGGTCTGTCCTGGTCGCTCTGTGTCCCCAGCACCATTAGCAGACAGCAGGTGCTCAGTAAACACATTCTGAATGAAGAGATGAACGAAGGAAGTGACAAACACTTGAATTACTGGATTTTTGTCACTGAGAATAAAAGCAAAAAATCATAGTATTTTAGGGATGGGGTCTTACTATATTGCTCAGGCTGCTCTTGAACTCCTGGGCTCAAGCAGTCATCCTGCCTCAGCCTCCCAAAGTGCTGGGATTACAGGCTGGGCATGATGGCAGATCACCTGAGGTCAGAAGTTCGAAACCAGCCTGGCCAACGTGGCAAAACTCTGTCTCTACTAAAAATACAAAAATTAGCTGGGCATGGTCATGTGCCCCTGTAATCCCACCTACTCAGGAGGCTGAGGCAGAAGAGTTGTTTAAATCCAGGAGGCGGAAGTTGCAGTGAGCCAAGATCACGCCACTGTACTCCAGCCTGGGTGACAGAGTGAGACTCTGTCTCAAAAAAAAAAAAGTGCTGGATTATAGGCATGAGCCACCACACCCAGCCTCAATGCCACAGTCTTTACTGGGACATTGCAGGCCCTGTAATCTGGTCCGGGGTCCATCTCGCTGAGCTCATAGACAGCTGGCCACTTCACTGAGAAACTGCCCTCTGAGCTGCCAAACAGGGCCTTTGCACGTGCATTCCTGGCTCCCTGGGATACGTTCATACGCTCCACGAGGGCAGGTTTTTGTCTTCTCCTTGCACTCACCTCTGTGTTGGCAGTGCCTATAGGAACATTGTATAACAGACAGTCAGCATGCAGTCACTATTGGTTGACTTAATGAGTGAATGAATCCCCCGCAGCTCCACTGGAGGGGTCCGAACATCATCCTCAGCAGTAAGAACCTGAGCTAGCTGGAGCGGAGGCAAAGGAGATAAGACAAAGCTGGGAAGACCAGGCTGGGAGAATTCCAGGATGGGGTCGGGGGTGGGGTTCAGGGGCTGCAGCAGGAGCTGATGTCCAGCCAAGAGCAGAATCCGGGATAGGACTGGGGCAGGGATGGGGTCAGGGGCTAGGGAGGGGCACAGTTGGCGGTGATCTCAGTTAAGAGCCTGACTCCCCTGCACTCTTTCCAGAGTGGTTTCACAGCAGGATCACAGGAGTCACTGTGGCCTTCACTGGAGGTTTAGAGACCTTCGGGGCCATTGAGGCCAAGCTGCAGGGCCTAGAGATGGGGGTGCTGGGTATGTCCCCACGCCTGCTTGGGGCAGCCCTGCCAGGGTGCAGGCATCTCACACTGACCCAGGGCCCTCTCTGGTGGCCCTCCCTCTGGCCCCATCTGGTCTCCCTGGGACTGTTGGGGTGACACAGCCTGTTCTCTCTCGCCCAGTGAACAATGTGGCATGTTGCATGTGCAGGGAGGCTTGAGGAAGCCTCTGGACTGAGAACATGGGCAAAGTGAGTGAAACCCAATCCTAGCCCACCTGGCCTTTTCCTCCAATTCTTTACTGCCCTCTGTTGGGAAACCTGCGTAATACATGAAGGCAAAGTCCTCACCGAATGGTGGGAGATCTGTTCACAGGACCCCCGCTGATGCTCCGGTCCCTAATACAAAATGGCCTAGTATTTGCACATAACCTGTGTACAACCTCTCGTGCACTTTATTTTAATTTTTAAATTTTTCGTGGGTACATAGTAGATTTATATATTTATGGGGTACACAAGATGTTTTGATACAGGCATGCAATGTGTAATAATGGGGTATCCACCCCCTCAAGCATATACCCTTCATGTTACAACCAATCTCATTACACTTTTATTTATTTATTTATTTTGAGACGGAGCCTTACTCTTTCGCCCAGGCTGGAGTGCAGTGGCGCGATCTCGACTCACTGCGACTTCCTCCTCCTGGGTTCAAGCAATTCTCCTGCCTCAGCCTCCTGAGTAGCTGCAATTACAGGCATGTGCCACTATGCCTGCCTAATTTTTGCATTTTTAGTAAAGTTGGGGTTTCACCATGTTGGCCAGCCTCGTCTCAAACTTTGGACCTCAGGTGATCTGCCCGCCTTGGCCTCCCAAAGTGCTGGGATTACAGGCATGAGCCACCGTGTTGGGCCAATTACACCCTTTTTGTTACTTTTTACTTTTTTTTTTTTGAGACAGAGTCTCACTCTGTCACCCTGGCTGGAGTGCAATGGTACTGTCTCAGCTCACTGTAAC